CTCTGCACTTCCTGGCCTCAGCTCCTCACAAAACCATCTCCTGACCTTTCAATGTTTTATTTACCTTTCCTCCAAGACGAATGAAGAATTCAGGCAAGTGAGGAACAGCGTTCAATACCAGCAGCTCCAGAGGGAGGCAGTGTTCCAGGAACCTCTGTTTGGGGATGTGCCCGAATCTGTGGACTGGAGAAAGAAAGGCTACGTGACTCCTGTGAAGGATCAGGTGTGGGACAGTGTGGGATTCAGACCTTGCATCTCCCATAGGAGAGCCCAGGACTCCATGCCCTGCCCTGCCACACGGGAGGGGCACGCAGTTCACTGTTTTGGAGAGTATTCGGCTATGTGAATTGTTGCCCGAGTTTTGCTCTTTGTTTTATGGATGATAGTTTGTTTTATTCCTTTTGCAGGGTCCCTGTGGTTCCTGTTGGGCTTTTAGTGCCACTGGGGCCCTGGAAGGACAGATGTTCCGGAAAACGGGCAAACTCATCTCGCTGAGTGAGCAGAACCTGGTGGACTGTTCCAGGGCCCAAGGCAATATGGGCTGCAATGGTGGCCTGATGGATTTTGCCTTCCAGTACATCAAGGACAACGGAGGCCTGGAGTCAGAGGACTCCTATCCATACGAGGCCAAGGTAAACAGAGCTTCTCATGTTGTTGACGGTCCATATCTGCTTTTGGAAAAATGGCACGTTTTCAGAATTCCCAAGAATTCCTTCAGAATCCCCAAGTTGAAGTGTCGAGTCTAGCTTCCCCTCTGTCAGCCACCCGTGTCATAGAAGTCTTCAGCCTTGGCCGTTCTTCCCTGAGATACTTTCATACATCTTGTTCTTGCCTCTGTGGAACGTGGAGAGCATGCCAACCGTTCCACGTTTAACGCAGATCCCTCTGTGGTGGGAAGTTCTTATGGATGGGAAGACCTGGAGGGTCTCGTTGAAGATTCGTGAGCTAATTTTCAGTTTCAAATCAAGTTACAGCATGTCGCTGCAGGTTGCTGGGTGTTGGGGTTCTAACACATGTTCCCCCACAGGTGGACGGCATTAATCAACTGTCTCCCTGCTTCCCCTTTACAAGGATGGCTTCTGTAGGTACAAACCTGAGAATTCTGTCGCCAACAACACGGGCGTGATCTACATTCCAAAGCACGAGGAAGCCCTCAAGAAGGCAGTGGCAGCTGTGGGGCCCATCTCTGTTTCTATCGATGCAAGCTTGAGGTCCTTCCAGTTCTATAAAAAAGGTGAGCATATTTCTCTCTAGAAACGGGTGCAGAAAAACTGCAATGCCACCATGACATATACCAGCTGGAGGGACTCTTGGGTATGTAAATTTTTGGCAAATATTTGGGTGCCTGGATTTCAAATTCTGTACATGTAATATATATACTTGATGTTTCCACTCGACCTTTCTTCAAGCAGATCCCATGAATGTGAGTACTGCATATTTTTTTTAAAAAAGCTGCTTAATTAGCTTAATTCCCTCTTGTTTTCTCCAATTATTTAACATTTACCTACATTTTTATTTATGCAATTAAATCTTAAAAGAGCTTTTTTGATTCAAGTAATTTAGTGTTCTGTGCTGATTTCTTAGATGGACATCCTAGAAATAGATTTACAGTATTTCAAAGAGTGGTCTTTTATGCACCTAGTGGTCTTTTATGCACCTAGAAATACAAATTAGCATAAATCCTTCAGCTCTTGAATGCCTAACTTTGATTACAATAGAGCCTGATTGTAAGTTTGTATCATCTCAGTGAATTTGGAAATGCCTCCTTATTCTTGGTGACAAGGGGTCCCTGCCACTGTTCCTGGAGCTTTCACCCCAGCTTTGATTTTTATCTCCAGGCATTTATTACGACCCAGACTGCAAAAGCAGTGAGCTGAATCATGGTGTTCTGCTGGTTGGCTATGGTTTTGAAGGAACAAACCCGAATAAAAATAAATACTGGCTGGTCAAGAACAGGTATGCGTGGCCCAAAGCATGTATGTTTGACATTAAAGAGGGAATTCTTGTTTGCAGTCAGTATTTAGTTATAGGTCCTAGAAATATGTATCCCTCTTAGGCTGAATGAGGAAGTCTTAATGCATGCTGATAACATTAAGATGTTGTTTCAGGCTCCTTGGGGTATTAAAATATGGCACGTCTGCTGTTGCTTTTCTAAATTCTGAAAATTTTCATACTGCGGAAACACATTGGACTACAAAGACATCCTGTCCTTTCACTGTCTATGATTTTACAATCCTGTATAAGATAATTGTTTGGACTCAGGGGTGGAAGTTAAGTGCCAATTTAGACTCAGCAGTTTATAGAGAATGAACAAGAATATCTGCTTCTCTGGATTCTGTTAAGTCTATGGTTTCTGGGACAGTGTCTAAATTAGGTGTTATTGTTAATAAAGCCAATGTGCTTTATTTTTCCTATGAAATGGAAAACTTGCTCTTCTTTCAGTTGGAGTAAAGGATGGGGCATGGATGGCTACATAAAGATCGCCCGAGACCGGAACAACGTCTGTGGAATTGCTACGGCAGCCTGCTATCCTACCGTGAACTGATGGACAGTGATAAGGAAGGACTTGATTGGTGACAGTTTCTCCAGCCCAGGGATTTCATCTCCAAACTGACCTGCCCCCTCTGTGTGGGATCCCAACGCTTGAGTCATTGATGATTCAACTTGTGATGTGAATTGGACATTTTTATTCTAGTAAAATATCACTACTACTTTAATTACTGCTGTAACCAGCTTTGTATTATTGACTCTTCCAATGACTTCTGCATTTTCATTTTTCCCTGAAAGTATGTATAAACTTGTGTCTTTAAAAATAAAACTGAATTCCAAATGTGATGGAGAGGCTTTTCATTTTTTTTTAGTTCTCTGACTTTTCGTGTCATCAAACATGTCATTTGGCTCTGAAGATATAACTAAGCGTGGCAATAGTTCTCCGGGACAAAGAACGGGTGCCTCTTCTAGTTATGACAGGATTCCACCCTTGTTCTTGCTTTTGCTTTCCAGTGTTTTAGTTACCTGATGTCAACTGTGGTCTGGAAATATGAAATGGAAATTTCCAGGAATTCAATATTGCAATTCACATCAATTTCCTAATTTTGAATTGAGTGCCATTCTGCACGGTGTGATGAAATCCGCTGAACCTGGATGTTCTGAGTTGAGTTTTTGAGTTCCTTATTGATCCTGGATATGAACCCTTTGCCAGGCAAATGGTTTGCAGATGTGTCCTCCCATGCTGTAGGTGGTCTCCTCACTCGAATGACAGTTTCCATTTCCCTGTAGAAGCTTCTGAATTCCCTTTGTCAATGCATTTTTTTTTGTCAGTGACCTTGAGGTCACTCCACAGAATCTTGCCCAGACCAAGGTACTCAGCATTGTCTCTATATTTTCTTCTGGTAGCTTCATAATTTGAGGCCTTAACTTCTTAGTTTCTTGTCAGAGTTTGAGTTGATTTTTGCATGCTGTGTGAGAGGTGGGGCTCTAGTCTCATTTTAATGCATATGTCCCAGCATACTGAAGTGACTGTCCTTTGTCCAACATGTATTCTTGGTGCCTTGTTGAAAGCCAATGTCTGTAATCACATAGATTCATGTCTGGGTGGATTACATGGATTACATGGATTCATTCTGTTCTTTTCATCTGTGTGGGTGTGTTTATGCCAATACCACGCCGTTTTGATCACTATAGCTTTGCATTGTCTTGAGGTCACCTATTTTAATGCTTCTAGCTTTATCCTTTTTTTTTTTTTAATCTTTCTTCAAGACTGCTTTGGCTATTCTGGGCATTTTGTGGTATTATATGAATTTTGTGATTGTGCCTTGCGGTTCGGTGAAGAATCTCATTGGTATTTTGATGGGGATTACATTGAATCTATAGATCCTTCTGGGTAGTATGAGCATTTTAACAATATAAGTCCTTCCAATCCATGAACATGAGATGTTGTTCCATTTTTTTTGTTTGTTTGTGTCTTCTGTGTTTCTTTCATCAGTATTTTATAATTTTCATTGAGGTTCCTTCACTTTCTTGGTTAAATCTATTTCTAGATTTTTTTTGTGGTATTGTGAATGGGATTAAATTTTTATTTCTTTTCAGCCAGTTTATCATTGTTGTGCAAAAAATAAACTTTTTTGTCATGTTAATTGTATATCTTGCCACTTTCCTGAATTTATTAATTGTAACAGCTTTGTGATGTCATCTTTAGGATTTTAATATACATAAGGTCATGTCATCCTCAAACAGGGATAATTTGACTTCCTTCTTTCCATTTTATATTGGAGTCTATCTCTCCATTTGATCTAATAATGGTTGCTTTATATGACTGGGCCTCTTAGTGTTGGGTGCATATATATTTATAATTATAATTTCCTTTTGTCTAGTTGAACCCTTTTATTCTTACATAGTATCCTTCTTTTTCTCTCTTTTTTTATAGATTTTTACATATAGTACATTTTATCTGATCTAAGTAAGCCATTCCTATTTGTTTTGGGTTTCCTTTTGCATAGAATATCTTTCTCCAATGCTACACTTAATGTAGTCTATAGGTATCTTTAATGATGAAGTGAGTTTTCCTATAGGCAGCCTATCCTTACGTCTTTTTTTTTTTTTTAAATCTATCCAGGAACTCTATATATTTTGATTAGGAATTTAATCTGTTTATATTCAAGGTTGTTATTAATACATAAGAATTTACTCCTCCTATTTTGTTAATTATTTTCTATATTTTTTGTTCCTCTCTTTTCCTCTTTTTTTATCTTTGTGATTTAGTGGTTTTCTTTCTTTCTTTTTAAAAAAATACTTATTTTTTTAGTAGTAATTGAACACATACATTTATTTTATTTATTTTTATGTGATGGTGAGGATCGAACCCGGGGCCTCGCACGTGCTAGGCAAATGCTCTACCACTGAGCCACAACCCCGGCCCCAATTTGGTGGTTTTCTTTAGTGACAGATTTTGATGTTTTGCTGTTTTTTCATTTATATATTTTCTCTATTTTATTTATTTTTTTTCTTGTGCTTTCATGATGGTCATTATTGTCCTTTTACTTCTTTAGGTCTAGGAAATTTTCTGCTATTATATCATTGAAAAGATTGTGCATTCCTTTGGTTTGTATCTCTGCTCCTTCAGGTATTCCAATAATTCTTAAATTTGGTCTTTTCATGTTATCCCATAATTCTTGGATGTTCTGCTCATTGTCTCTCATTTTTTAAGTTTATTAATGATTATTTTACTTCATCATGTTTCTCAATTTATATAGACAAATATATTGGGTTTAATATTTTCTTTTCTTTTTTATTGATTTTAAAAAAATAAATGACAGCTGAATACATTATAATTCTTATTACACAATTCTTATTACAGCTGAATATATTACAATTCTTATTGCAGCACAATTTTTCATATCTCTGGTTGTATATAAAGTATATTGATGCCAATTCATGTCTTCCTACATGTACTTTGGATAATGATGACTATCACATTTCACCTGTTCATGGTTTCTTACCATCTTCTCTGCACGGTCAACTTTTCAAGATTATGTATTTTGTCTTCATTGTCTGTGGTTCTGTCTTCCAAGTGGTCTAGTCTGTTGGTGAGGCTTTCTATTGAATTTATAATTTGGTTTCCTGGTTCCTTCATTTCGAGCATTTCTGTTTGTTTGTTTGTTTGTTTGTTTTTCATAATCTCTAACTCTTTATTGAAGTGATCTTTCACTTTCTGTATTTTTTCTTTGATTTCACTTCTTATACTATCCTCTACTGCACATATCAATTTAACTATGTACAATCTGAACTCCTTTTTAGACATTTCTCCTATTGTGTTATCAGTGGCTTCTGTTATTGAATCATCCCGGTTTATTTGGGGCGCTTTATTCCCTTGTTTTTTCATGTTAGTGTGTTTTCCCATCTAAAAATATGAATCTGAGGCAGCATAAATCCTACCCTGTAGACCTATAGTGTCCCTGAAGGTTGCCAGCACCTCGCCTTTAATGGTGAGACCAATATCAAAAGCACCCAGTGTACACAATATATAGCCTTAAACCCAATAGCTCCCACTAAGGCATCTACTGCCTTCTCACATTAAACCAAAATGATGAGTTCAATAACTGTAGTATAAACAGAAAATTTGTTAAAACAGTTTACAATTTCAAATAGTTGATGAGAGACAGAGGTAGTGTAGTATGTGATATTCACGAAAGAGGAAGAGAGAATCTAGAAGTAAAAATTCACAGGAAGAGTGGAAGAGGAGCCAGCAGAGATTGGCTGTTGGTTGGAGAAAAGTTGGAAAGAAAATCCAAGGAAATAGACAAGAGAGAGGAAATATCAAACAAAGAGGAAAAAATTAAAGACATAAGAATACAATTAAAATGCAAAACACCATTCATATATCATTGTCCTCCCACACACTGATGCATAAAAATCATCCTGTTCCAAATACGGCAGAGAGATCAGTGAATAAAAAATAAAATAAAATAAATCTTGCTGGAAAGTTGGACTCTCTCTGTCAGTGTTCAACAGTTTCTCAGCCCTGTCTCTGACATCTCTCGGGATCACCAAACCCAGATCAGCCCTCAAAAACCCAGTCTCTGTCCCACCAATCTGGGCTTCTGATACTTCAGGCTTGGCCACGCTGCAGTCCCAAGACCTCAGTGCTGCTCCTATTGCAGAGAGACCACCTGGGATACACTCGTGCAAAGGAGCAACCTCGAGATGCAGCAGCAAGATGAGGGCCACCAGCTCTCTCAGCAGGAAGACCCCAGGCACCTCCAAACCCACAGGCACCCCAATACTGGACCTGCAGGTCCCAGCTGGAGTCCCCAGACAGAGGCTCTTGTGCTGGCACCCAGACCCCAGGCCTTGGCTTGTGTCCCAAAGTGGGTGCAGTCATGTGCAACCCAACCTAAAGTCCCCCCCCTCAGCAGTCCTTATCTCTGACTCTGCATAAAAGTCAATTCAAAGTGGATCAAAGACCTAGGAATTAGACAAGAAACACTGTGACTATTATAAGAGGGGGTCCACCCTCCAACCTGTGGGCACAGGGACCAACTTCCCTAAAACTCAAGAAACAAGACCAAGAAGCAAAAAGTGGGGTGGCACCAAATTAAAAAGCTTCTACATAGCAAAAGAAACAGGAGCATGAAGAGACAGCCTCCAGAATGGGAGGAAAAAAATCTTGGTCAGCTACTCTTCCAAAAGGGGATTTATATCCAGAATATATAAAGAAGTATTCTTCAATTTCTTTCCTTAGTGTTTAGTTTTCATTGTAGAGATCTTTCACTTCTCTTGTTAGATTGATTCCCAAGGATTTCATAATTTTAGGCCTCAAGGACAAGGGATGTTTAGGTTTACATTACGTGTGTGAGACTGGCAGGGACTCACGTCAACTGGGTCATTTCCGTTGTAGCAAAAACTGGATTAGAACAAGCCCACATGTATATGTAAAAAATATGGCAGAGAATCCTCCAGGAGCTGGATCACACCTGTTGAGTGCTTGGTTTCCCTATTTCCACACACCTGCGATGATTCAGAAGCTGAATTTGTACCAGTCACAGCACTTGGTTGCAAACAACAGAATCCCCTCTTTCTAATTGGAGCCAAGGGGCATATATTTCTGCCTATTAGGCCTGAGATTTCAGGAGCACAGGAGAACAAGCTTGGATTGTGCATATCTAGGAATGACCTGGCTGAGATGGTCCTCTACACCTACCCCACAGGGTTGTCTTGGAAACCCCAACATACGTGATGACCAAACCTGGAACCCACAGCCAGAAGCCACACAAGGCACCTCTCTCCTCTCCCTGTGATACTCACGCTCACCTTCCCAATCTGGCCAGGCCCTTCCC